GAGGAATTCTGGGACTTGAAGTCCACAAGTCTTAAAGCTGTCAAGTTGGAAGACCCTTCATTCATAAGCCTTGGAGTGAATGGTAACAAGCAGCTCTTGCAGGAGACTTTAACAATGCTGAGAGGTCTCTCAGGGCTTGTACGTCCAAATACTGCTTGTCTTTCAATACCTATTCTATTATGGGCCTGGCTAGTCTAGGGAAGAGAACAATCAGGGGAGACATGATAGCAGTCTTCCAATATTTGAGGGGCTGTCATGGGGGTTGGGGGGTCAAACTATTTTCTAAAGCTCCTGTAGGCCAGACAAGGAATAATGGATGGAAACTGAACAAGGAGAGATTCAACCTGGAAATAAGGAGAAACTTTCTGACAGTGAGAACAATCAACCGATGGAACAGAAGTTTCCCTCAGAAGTTGTGGGAGCGCCATCACTTGAGACTTTCAAGAAGAGATTGGACTGCCATTTGTCAGAAACGCTTGGGCGGGGGGTTGGACTAGATGACCTACAAGATCTCTTCCAATTCTTTTAATCTGTTACTGGTGGCTGAATGACTTCAATCACAGAAGAGTCAGAAATCAGTAAAATATATACACTTACCCAGCTGAACTGTGATTTTTTTTCAATTGCAACTGATGTTTTTAAAGGCTTTGGGAAGTGGCACCTACAATCCGCTTTTTCCTTGTATAAGAATTCCATGTGCATTTCATGTCTGAAGGTGCACAAGAGACAAGTGTGTTGTAATGAATGCAGAAATGTATGAGGTTTCAAATCCCTGAAAGGTTTAGCTTTAAATTATTAGTGGTATCCATTTATCTGAGTGCTGATGAGGTTTCCTTGGAAGAGAAGGGAAAACAATGAACTTTTTTTTTCTTTCTAATTAATATTTTTTATTTCTTTTGTTAGATGTTCAGATTTTGACGCTAAAGATCGTGCAGCCTGTAGAGGGAAGGTTGGCATTTCAGGTACATTTGTTTTCTGTTGTCTGCAACTGGGGAACACAATAAATTTGTGCTAATCTGGCTCTCATCTGGCGCTGATGCCTTTCCCACTTAAATGCCGGCTCCAGTTTTATCTCCTTGGCTCTGATGAGACTTGGCTTGGAGGGTCCATTCCTCCATTACCTTAACACAAAAAGGGTTTTGCACCTATGCAAATTCTGTGATTCTCCTGTAAATAAGTATAGTTTTACATTTTCAGTGCCAATTTGAGTAGAAAATGAAGGAAAAAAATCTGCTTCCAGTCTCAAGGTAGAGAGGGAATCACTTTGGTGGAATATAAGTAAGTGAAACAAAAACGGAAGACTTGCTTTCCAAGTGCTACTTTTACACCAAAGCTGACAGCAATAGCATTTAGACTTATATACTGCTTCAGTGCTTTTCAGCCCTCTCTAAGCGGTTTTACAGAGTCGACACATTGCCCCCAATAATAATCCGGGTTCTCGTTTTACTGGCCTTGGAAGGATGGGAGGCTGAATCAACCTTGAGCCAGTTAGAATCGAACTGCCAGCAATCGCCAGTCAGCAGAAGTAACCTGCAGTACTGCATTCTGACCACTGCGCCACCACAGCTCATGGTAGTAACTGCTTACAGCAAGAGGTCTTCAAACTTGGCAACTTGTGGAAGATTTGTGGACTTCCAACTCCCAGAATTCCCCAGCCGGCATTATTAACGCTGAACGAACACTTGAATGTCGAGAGAGAACATTTCTAGAAAATAGAATCTATTCTGGATTTTTGGATTGGGTTAGATGAGTTGCAATGAACTTATTTTTGCCCCCTTCTTTCTTTTAGATCTGCGAATTCCGTTGATGTGGAAAAACTCCGATCATTTCAACAGCAAAGACAGTATGTATGTTTTGTTTTTAGTAGTTATGCAACCTCTTTAGCCAAGTGGAAGCTTTTCATCAGTGCTGATTCAGTACAAAGCATCATCCAGCATTTATTCTCAGAGGCAAGGTCTGTAAGTGTCAGTTTATAGCTGAGCATGTGAATTGCAGCTGTCTGAAATGGGCTGATGAAAACTTTTTCCTTTTGAACACGTGCTCTTCAGAAAAGTGTGCAGGGATGGTTATTATATAATAATAATAATAATAATAATAATAATAATAATAATAATAATAATAATAATAATAATAACAACAACAACAACAACAACAACAACCGGTAATATAATAATTATATTGAAAACCAATATAAATAAGTGGAAAGTTTAAACTGGGAAAAAAGTAGCACATATATAATAAAATTTATTATAACCATAAATATATTACGATTAGTAGGTGGAAGAATAGGACTAGGTATATTTAAATGTATTTATTACCATTAACAGGTTGCAAAAAATATGTTGGAAAATATAGGGTTTTTTTTCCAAGTTTTTTATTTTTATTTTTTTAAATACATCTTTATGCAAACAGTGTCGATCCAGTATTTTTAACATTTCAAGGCAAACATGACCATATTTACACATTCCTACTATCAGCTTTCTTCAATATTCTCATACATTACTGGAAAATATGGTTTGCAAGGACTATAAATTCAGGGGATTTAGAGATATAATCTTGGGACTGATTAAATCTTACTGACAACTGGTTTTATTGATGTTTATAGAAAATTGAGATATTGAAAATGTGGTAGAACACAGAGTGATATTTATAATATTAAATTATTAGTGACCTAACGGGTTAATAAGTATATTGTATAAAGAAATGTTATTAATGTTTACATATACTTTTGGAGAAAGTGATAAAAAAATGAGAGAATAGTATTGAAAGAGAGAATAGTATTGTTTAAAGGTAAAGAGGTCAATATAGAAGAACCCCAACAAACGGGAAAATAAAGAAATAAGTATCAATTGGGAAAATAGTATAGCATAGATTGATACATAAAAGAATATAATATAATTATAACCACATTAAGATTAGAAGTTGGAAGATAACAATTCTGTATATGTAATTGTATTATTGCTGTGAGCACTGTGTGAAAAATATGTTAACCCAGTCATTACACTGTCCACAAAAAATGTTGGTTGTCAGAGGAAAACTGCAAATAAAACATATACAAAAAAGAAAAGAAAAGTTACATTGTCCACAAAAAATGTTGGTTGTTAGAGGAAAACTGCAAATAAAACATATACAAAAAAGAAAAGTGTGCAATAACAGCAGGGATTCCTTCCATGTGTGTGTGGCCATGAACGTGCTGAACTGCCAGAGACAGAAAATATACCTGGCAGGTAAAATGAATGAAAGTTTGTCTGCGGTTAGCGCAGCAGCTGAAAGAGATGCCAGCTAGGCCTCCAAGGTTAACCATGTTTTTGCCACCTTCCCCTTCCCACAGATGGATTTAACTTTTAGCTTCTGTAAGTTCAGAGGTGCTCACCCAGCAAAACACTCGTAATTCCTCATTCTGCGTTCATAATTCTGAAGAGGCTGTTTGTACAGTTTCTCTCTATGTGCTTTAATGAATCGTTTTGGGATGGAATTGATTTCAAGAGTTTTTAACTTCCAGACGTAATGTATGATCCGAAACCCCAATGAATTTCTGAGCTAGCTATTGAAAGTTCATTTGTCAAGTGAGAGATTTGCTAAGCTGTATAGACGTTAAAGGACATCAAACCAAGTTACTTGCTTCACTGTTTCTTGTTTGCAAACTTTTATTACTATGTTTCATTCAGTGTATGAATGAATGAATTCTTTATTGGCCAAGTGTGGTTGGACACACAAGGAATTTGTCTTGGTGCAAATACTCTCAGTGTACGTAAAAGAAAAGATACATCCACCAAGAATCATAAGGTACAACGCTTAATGATTGTCATAGGGTACAATAAGCAATCAAACCATACTAGGAAACAGTCAATATAAATCGTAAGGATACAAGCGACAAAGTTACAGTCATACAGTCACAAGTGGGAGGGGATGGGTGATAAGGAGTGTTGAAAAGATTAACAATAATAGTAGTGCAGACTTTGTAATAGTTGAACAGTATTGAGGGAATTATTTGTTTAGCAGAGTGATGGCATTTGGGAAAAAATGTTCTTGTGTCTAGTTGTTCTAGTTGTGTACAGTGTGTGGCTTCCCTAAGATTGAAGCAGTCAGTAAATCCCATAAATTTACTGGGGGGTGGGAGTTGGAGAGTGATTTTGTTATATTGTACTATATTAATTTATTTGATTCTTTTTGTTAGTTTTTATTGTTTTAAATGTGGCTTTATATTCTGTAAGCCGCCTTGAGTCACCATGGGCGAATAGGCGGCAATATAAATTCAGTAAGTAAATAAGTACATACTGTACAGTGTGTGACACAATACATTATTTTGAAGTTGTTCTGCCTTTTTTCTTTTTTCCCCTGCAGGAAGCAAACGTTACTCAGTTTTTTGCTTGTTCAAAATAGGAGCTCAGGTGTATGATTCAGACTTGCTTATTGTGGATAAGGCAGCAACAGACATATGTTTAGAAAATGCAATAATATTGTGAGTATTCCTGAACCGATAAGGGCACCCAAAATCTTGAACAAATCCCACAGTTTAAAATTTTTTTTAGAACATGTAAGCTTGGTGGGAGGCCATCTCCGCTTGCACCTGAAAATTAGAGCAGCTGTGAATGTCATTTGGGAATACAGTTGACTGGCCTGTTCCTGAGGAATCCACCCATGGGCCCTTAGCTCGGGTCAAAAACTGAGACTGGGCTCAGCCACTTTCCAGCAAATTTAGGGACTGTCACTTTGCTTGAATCTGCTGATTTCTGCACATGCTGTTCTGTGCTTTTAATATCTCTATATAAAACCAAAATACCACTCACGCATCATCACAAAATCTCCAGAACCGTAAAGCCTACAAACTTGAAATTTGGTACATATGTTCCTTTTGGCTTGTAGGGGCTCACTAAGAAAGGATTTTCCGAAATGACCATCAGAGCATTTAGAGTATTTCCTATATTATTATTAACATGCTCTGATGCTAAGGAGTTCTACTCCCCCTCCCCACCTGTAAAGAAATCTGTTCCAAATGCAAAACAAGCAGAGGAGTTTCGGTCTCAGTTTTACTTTCACAGCACCAAGCAGCTTTAGTACAGTTGAGCTAAGCCACGCCCAGGCTCCTTGCTGTCTCCTCCTTGCTCACACAGCAAATATTGCTTCAGTTTCCAAGCAGCCCTCAACTCTCTCACACACTGACAGGACGCTAGCCAGATGAATACCGATGGATGCTGGTAGGCAGAGGCAGAATTTTTTTTCCCCTCCAAAAACTAAGCCCGGCCACATAGTTTCGTAGCAAAGCACGGGTATCAAGCTAGTATTTTATGTGTGCATCTTATGGGGGCTACTTTAAATTGGGCTGGGAGCATTTTCACTGAAGAGCAGCCAAGGTAGACAAAAAACAAAAAAACAGAAGTTGTCCCTTTAAAATATATATATATATATATATGGTCGTCCTTCTGAAACCTGCCCCCGTTCTGTCTAGCGAGGGAGCTGGGCCAGACTTCCAGCTGAAGGTGGAGGTGTATAGTTGCTGCAGTGGGGAAGACCCCTTGACCCTCACCAACACCCCCAGGAAGCTGGTCAAGAAATTGAAGACCTCCCTGGGGAAAAGCGCTGGGAAGAAATTCAGCTCTGCTTTGGATCAAAGTGACCTTGAGAATCTCCTGCTCACCGAAACAGCCACACAGTGAGTGGACTCGGATGGGGGGAGGGGCTGTTTCGGATGCGGGCGGGGAGGGTCTCTCAGGGTGGTTTCCATCTATGGAGGAGTTCATTTCCAGAAATCTACTTTCTGTCTCTCCTGAAGTGGAGGAAGCGGTTCAGATCCTCTTGCCTCTTGGGCCGGCAACACATCCATGGGTGGGATGCTCCCAGTGGTGGGATTCAAATCATTTAACAACCGGTTCTCTGCCCTAATGGCCTGCTGGGTGGGCGGGGCTATGGTGGGCGGGGCCAGGGAGTGTGACAGGCAGCACTCGGCCTCCTGCACCTCCCTGGGAGGAAAAACGGGCCGTGGGGACATGCCACACCCGCTGTGCCCCTTTTGGGGCCCAGTGGGCCTCCCTGCAGCCGGCTGGGAACAAGAATGGGTGGCGGAGGGGCCACGTCTGGGAGCAAAAATGAGGCGCGTGGGGACTTCTGGGAGGGGTGGGGCCAGCCAGCCATTTAACAACCGGTTTGGCCGAAGTGGTGCAAACCGGTTGAATACCACCACCGGATGCTCCCCAACCCACCCCCAGCAGGAGGTACAGTGGCGCGGCTAGTCCAGCGGGGGAGTCGGGGGGCTCGGAGGTGGTGAGTGTGCCTGGACCGGTTAATGCAGAAAACCAACTGCTTCATTATCGGATCTGCTTCATTCATTTGGGGGGGGGGTCTAACTCCTCCCAGGAAAGTTTTTTATTTACGGCTTGGTCCATTCCACGGGCACAAGCCATTCTTCTCGGCGAGGTGGGCAGGGGTGTCCTCCAGGGTGGTGAGGGGCCACAACCAGGGGTGGGCTTCAAAAAATTTAGCAACCGGATCTCTGCCCGGTTGCTGGGTGGGTGTGGCCATGGTGGGCGTGGCCTAGTCTGTCTCCTGCACCATGGTGGGCGGGGGCATTTCACCCTCCCCGGGCTCCGGAGGCTTTCCTCCCTGAGGTCCGGAGGCTTCCTGAAGGCTGGGAACTGGCCCATTTCTAGCCTTTCCCACGTTCCAGGAGGACCGTTTTTCACCCTCCTCGAACCTCTGTGTGGGCCCTCCACTTACCTGGGACCCAAACGAGGCTGCGTGGAGACTCAGGGGAGGGGAAGGGCAGGGTAGGCAGGGACAGCCAGTCATTGCAGCTACCAGTTCGGCAAACCAGATGTAAAATTAACACCCAGTTCGCTGGAACCGGTACGAACCGGTAGCAGACCCCCCCCCCGGCCACAACACGGCTGCGTTCCCTGACACGCCTGATCTTGTGCTCTCACGAGATGCTCACAGGAGCACGCAGAGAAAAGCCCACGTTTGGGCACAATGGAGAAGTTACGATGGAACCCCAGCCTCGTTTCCCCTGCCTTTCCGATGGACGTGCCTTGGAAGGGTTAGCTGCGTTTAGCCCTTCAGTCACTGGCCTGCTTTTCCCCTGCCCTCTTCGGCGTACGGAGGGTGGTTCTCTTGGTAGGATGGAGCAAGACCTCAGAAAGGCCCTGCCAGAGGACAGCTTTACCTGGGCTTTCCTTGTGGGGCTGGCTCTGTGTCTTGTGGGGCACAGAGAGCTCTTTCGTTGGGGTAGCCCCCGAAGTCCAGCAGCCCCTGGAGGGAAAGTAAATCCTAAGCTTGATTTTTATACGTGTGCCCAATATAAGCCCTACCCCCAAAATAAGCCCTAATTAAGATCCTGCCCACTCCAGAGTGCACAGGTAAAAATTAAGCTAGGGTGAGATTGGTGGGGGGGTGGAGCTGCCCTACTACTTACCTTTGGACAGTTGTAACTAGGCCTTGCTCATCCCGACACCTTCCTTATTTATTTTATTTATTTTTATTTATTTATTTGATTTGCCAATTGTTTACAAGATAATAAGTATAAGTGTATACATAGTTGTGAATACATGAAATGGGTACATATAAGAAAAATAAAAGAAGAATAAGATAAACAATAGGACAGGGACGGTAGGCACGTTGGTGCGCTTATGCACGCCCCCTACAGACCTCTTAGGAAAGGGGTGAGGTCAATAGTAGACAGTCTAAGGTTAAAGTTTTTGGGGTTTGGGGAAGAAACTACCCCAAAAACTTTAACCTTACCAGCTTTTTTTTTTTTTTTATCCTTGCCAGCCCATTTCTTCTGCAGCCGGCAAGGCTTTCCTGAAGGCCTCTGGAGCTGATAACAAAGCTTTGGATCGATCCAGAGTTCTTGTTATCGGCGGCAGAGGCCTTCAGAAAAGCCTTGCCGGCTGCAGGGGAAGAAGTTTCTGAAGGCCCCTGACAGCGAAAAGGAGGCCAGGGGTGACACGCGCAAGTAAGATTAGTCAGTGGATGACGTTCCCCTAAAATAAGACCTGGTGCCTTTTTTTGGGTGGAAAACAAAATACAAGACAAGGTCTTATTTTCGGGGAAACACGATAGCAAAGGCCCAATATACCAAGACCGCCATTGGATCTGTCTGTGAGTGTTTCTTCTCTCTTAACCAGGGGAGTGGAATACAGCTTGCTGGCCTCAGCCTCCCTGAGCTTGGAGAACGCCAAGGATGGCTTCAACGCCCACAGCCTGACACTCCTGGGAAACGGTAAGTTACGTTCAACGTGTCGAATCCTTCCAAATCCTTCCAAGTTGGCTTTGGAGAAGCTTTGCTTTGTGTGTGTGTGTGTGTGTGTGTGTGTGTGTGCTGCGCCTTCCGTCACCCCAACCCATTCAGGTGGAATTGTCTTCCTGTCTTGAGTTCAGGAAACGTTTCTCCCTGAATCTCCGTTTGGAGGGAGGGAAGAAGCAAGGGGACGGACAAACTTCCTTCAGAAGTTTCTCTTGGGGCCGCCTGGAAGAGCCCTTGTCCCGGGTCACTTCATTCTCTGTTTCCCTGAAGTATCAGACTGATACTTCAGTCTGTTCTCCGCTGGTCTCTGGGAGATATGTCAGCATGGCCGTTGAATTTAGAATAGAATAACAAGAGTTGGAAGGGGCCTTGGAGGTCTTCTACCAGTTTGCACCTATTTGCTAGAACTGGTTGTTAACATTCTAAGCAGTTCGGAAAACCAGTTGTTAGAAGAAATTACTGGCCTAATTCTGTAAGGAAGGCAGGAAGGAAACATTCTGGTGTTGCTTACAGAAACTGCCTCTCCGTTAACCCTTATTACATTCTTGGCAGGACTAGACTTCCTGTCTCAGGAACGCCTCTGGAGTTTTTTCCCCCTCCTTTGCTGGTACTTTGCTTGTGTGGAGTGACCGTTCAAAGTTACAATGGCACTGAAAAAAGTGACTTATGACTGTTTTTCACTCTTACGACTGTTGCAGCATCCCCACAGTCATGAGAGGCCAGGCGAGGAGATGCATGCCTCGATGTGAGTGATATTGAGTTGGCCACACCCAGCCAATAACATGACCACCAAGCCATGCCCACAGAACCGGTTGTTAAACATTTGAATCCCACCCCTGGTCAGAAACTGCTGAATACCACCTCTGGCCATATTCCAAGTGTGGCCTTCCTAAGGCATTATAATTAAAAACCCTAACCCTCCGTTTATGCAGCCTAGAACTGTGTTGGCTTTTGGGGTAGCTACTGCGCACGGCTGGCTTAGATTTAAGTGATTGTCCACTAGGACTCCAAGATCCCTCTTGCAATTACTACTATTGAGCCAGGTACCACCTATACCCGTGATGGCAAACCTATATGGCAAGCGTGCTGGAAGTAGCACGCAGAGCCACTTCTGCCAGCACTCAAGAGGTCACCCAAGGAGCCCTACTGTGCCTGCGCATGCATCGCCCTCCCTGATTGTCAGTTATCTGGGGTGCACGGAAGACATGCACAGGGGGCATGCCCCCCCCGCATGCATTGCCTTCTGGGTGCTGGCACGTGCACGCAAGTGCCTGCGCAATTCTCAGCACAGGATCCCCAAAAGGTTAGCCACCACTGAGCTATACCGTACCTGTGCAATTTCTGCCCCGGCAGATCTTCCAGTCTAAAAGATCTCACCGTGGAATGAATGTTATCAATCGGGGTGTGACTTTTTGCTCCGCGCCTGTTTTCAGTTATTGCTCAGTGTGAATTTGGCCAAGGAGCTTGGGAGCTAAGAGGCCGGTTTCTCCTGCGTTGTCTTTGCAGAGGACTCTCCTTCTTGGCTTCCGCTGTATGGCACCATGTGTTGCCGCCTGGTTGCCCAGCCGGACTGCATGACCCAGGATGCCATGTCTGGATTTCTTCACGAACAGGTAAAAATGCCCGATGGGCCTTTATGCTTGGACAGCGCCTCTTCAAACTTGAGGGTGCCTTGGCAGTTCTTTTGCCCTCTTCAACTGGATCCCACAGGGCGGTCCATCTTGTCCCAGGGCACTGATAACCCTGGCTGTCCCTTGGATGCCAAGAGCAGGGTGGAAGCTCCCTCCCTCCTTCTCTCCTTCCCTCCCTCCGTGCTGGACACTTGAGAGGCAGCAGATCTGGTCCCCTCTCAAGGAAGGGATAACCCTCCTGCTCTCTCTGCTCCCTGCCCTGGCCGGAAGGAGGGTGGTGGGTCCAGCCAGAAGACCTCCCCCAGAAGGAGAGCCCACATCCATCTGGGAGGGGGGCCCTTCTTCCCACTGGGAACACCCAAAAAAAACCAAGCTCCAGCTAATACACATTTTAAGGGCTCCTCAAGGGGAGGATTTCTTCAGTTTGTGTCTCCTTTTATAATATCTGAACTTTATGCTGGTTTTGCTCCAAGGGGGCCATTCCAGGAAAGGCCCGGGAGGCCACCACTCTCGTCCATGATTTGTGGCCAGGTCACCCAGTCCTTTTAGTGAAAGGTGTTAAAAGTATTGAGATTTAATAGCTGACCAGCTGTTATAAGGCTGCTGTAAACGCTGATGCAATGAGAATGAGTCAGCAAGGTATTGCCGCTTTAAGACTGAGGCTGGGTCAGCAGAGTTATTGCCACTTTAAGAAGCTGTCTATATAAAGGAGGCCATGAGAGGGTGTATATCTCTCTCTTTCTCCTTGTGTTATATCTGCATTGTAGTTCTCTGTGCAGAGCAATGAAGACTGATTGCTTGCCTGGTATGTGGCCCAACACCTATGTATATAGCAGTCTTGCATATAAACCACTGTTAAAAGACAAAGCCTCTATGTGCTATGCTGTGCTCCTAGGTTGTCTCGCAATAGTAGTCACTCTGCAAACACTCTGACAAAAGGTTTTGTCTGGATTATATTGGGTCATTTGTGGGTGCTTGGGGGGGGCTGTCCAGGCGCCCTGTAAATTTAGGTCAAGGGTCGGCACTCAAAGAGCCACTTAGACTCATTTCCCACAGAAAAGAAAACACCGGGAGCCTCAAAACATAAGTGGGTGTGGCCAACTCAATGTCACTCCCACCCAGTCACATGACACACACCCTCACCACGCCTACCCAGGTTTTGTGACTTCCAGTATTTTTTGTGGGAAATGGGTCTCTCTCTCTCTCCCCCCCCCCTCCTTCCCTCCCTCCCTCTCATTTCTGTTTTTTGCATTTTACCTCCTGAGGTAAAACTCGAGGACTGACTGGGAAGGGAGGGTGAGGGGCAGAACCAGCCAGTGGTGGGATCTCCTGACAGGGAGCCACAACAGAGGGCCCAAAGAGCCGCATGCGGCTCCAGAGCCGCGGGTTGCTGACACCCGATTTAGGCAAAGAGACCGGATGAAGTCAGAGGGTCAAGCAGCATTTTCAGTGGGACTCTGGGTGGGTGGGTGGGTGGGAGTGCCAGAGGCCACTCACCCTTTCACCCTTAATACAATATTGTCATCAGTCATTGCCAAGGACATCCGTGGAGAATGTTCTTTTCCCAATAAGGAACTTGCACTTCACCTGAGAGCGAAATCATCTTTGGGGTGATCTGTGACCGACAACCTTTCTTACTTACAGCCATCGGGGGGTGTCCAGGGGGAGACCTGGAGGCAGCAATACTGTGTGCTGAGAGGGGGGCAGCTGCTCGGCTTCTCTGCCCCTGAAGAGAGAGAGGCCGACGCGCAGCCAGCCTTGTCCATTCCCATCAACCGGGTAAAGCCAAGCATTGCTTAATAAAGGAATAGAATAGAATAGAATAGAATAGAATAGAATAGAATAGAATAGA